CAAGAACATTCACCGGCCCCGCCCCAGGTAAACTCTGCCACTCCAGGATGGCTAGCCTGTCATTTGCACTGACAGGAGGAGGCGCGGGTGGAGGCTCAGGAATGACCCGAGTCTTCATCTTGAGTGGTTCTGGCTCCTAGGCCCTTCCCCACTCACCAAGGAGACCACCTGGATGGCAAGGCAGACTTTGGAGAAGGCACTGCCATGGGCCCTTGCATGGAGCCCGGGACTCAAGCTAGAGAATGGGTACTAGGACTGAGTGAGAAGTAAGTGACAAGGAGTCTATGCTCTGGGACCTAGAGAGGACAGGGGTGAGGCCCTGGAAAAGACCTGGGGGCCTACAGGAAGCAGGGACACCCCCCCTGCCATGCAATGTACCTATTCCCCTCAGTATAATGTCTGGCAGCCTGGGACTGGCACCAATTCCCAGTGCCTGGCAGAGCTCTGGCATGGATGCCAGAGACAGGGTGCCAGACCCGGGGGTGGGCAGGGTGGGGGGCCGCCAGGCCACACACAAACATGGACCTTTGAACACACAAGCAGGGGCATGTGTCCGCATGTCACTCCTCAGTCAAACCTGGGTCATTCACAGGCACAGGGGGCTGCGATGTCCTAAGGCAGTGGTTCTCAACCTTCCTAATGCCGAGACCCTTTCATACAGTTCCTCATGTTGTGGTGACCCCCCAACCATAAAATTATTTTCGTTGTTATTTCATCACTATAATGTTGCTACTGTTATGAATCAGACGACCCCTGTAAAAGGGTCGTTCAACACCCAAAGGGGTCAAAGTCCACAGGTTGAGAACCACTGTCCTAAGGGCTACCCTTACTGACAGAAGTCCTCAGGTGTCTTCACAGGTCTGGCTCTTGGAGGTGCCTGGGTGGGGGGAACAGTCACCCCCACCCACAGATATTTGGGTGGCAGAAGAGGTGGAGTTGGTTGGTGCATCCCCCAGGGCTGAGCCCCAGTGGGGAGGGGACAGGGGGGCAGCGGATCCCCCCAGAACCTCCGTGGGGCTCCCACTCACTCCAACCCCGCCCCCCAGGCTGCCTCTGTGGCAAAACGGGCAGTTCAGATGATGGGAAAGCGCGCGGGGACGGGTGTGCTTGGGTGCGGTGGCCGCGCACGGCGTGAGCGTGGCGCGTGTGCCAGGGGGTGAGGGCGGGCGGCGCCCAGGCAGTGTGTCCTCAGGCCCCGCGGTCCTGAGCCAGCGTGGAGGCTGTGTGGGTCCCCAGGTGTCACGATTACGCGTGCGCTGGGCGTGCTCGCTTGGGACTGGGGTGCAGCGGTCTTGGGCGCGGGGTGCGGCGCAGTGGG